AAAACAATTACAGGGTTTTGTTTTACACTCACTTGGCAGGATGGTAGTACCTCCCTGGGCAATTGCTGTCTACCACCCTTCTACCAACAAGCACATCCATCTCATTAAAATAATGAGATAGTGAGAACTTTCAAGGCAAGGGAAATAGTGCCAGTGATGACACTATTCAGATTGCTTATGTCCTCTTGTTTAGAGTATTGTTCAGTTTTGATGGCCCCTTCAAGGTAGCATTTAAATTACTGTGAACACCTCAAAATTGTAAATATGCACTCACTAGAGAGAATGAGAGAGTAAGTGTAAAAGTGTGAGAGAGAGTGGGTGTCAGAGAGTGAGAGTGTGTGTGTGAGAGAGAGTGAGAGTGTGAGAGAGTGAGTATGAGTGAGAGTGTGTGTGTGTGTGTGTGTGTGTGTGTGTGTGTGTGTGTGTGTGTGTGTGTTGTGTGTGTGGTGTGTGTGTGTGTGTGTGTGTGTGTGTGAGAGTGAGTGTGAGAGAGTGAGTATGAGTGAGTGAGTGTGTGTGTGTGTGTGTGTACTCACCTAGTTACTCACCTAGTTGAGGTTGCAGGGGTCGAGTCCAAGCTCCTGGCCCCGCCTCTTCACTGGTCGCTACTAGGTCACTCTCCCTGAACCATGAGCTTTATCGTACCTCTGCTTAAAGCTATGTATGGATCCTGCCTCCACTACATCGCTTCCCAAACTATTCCACTTCCTGACTACTCTGTGGCTGAAGAAATACTTCCTAACATCCCTCTGATTCATCTGTGTCTTCAGCTTCCAACTGTGTCCCCGTGTTGCTGTGTCCAGTCTCTGGAACATCCTGTCTTTGTCCACCTAGTCAATTCCTCTCAGTATTTTGTAAGTCGTTATCATGTCCCCCCTATCTCTCCTGTCCTCCAGTGTCGTCAGGTTGATTTCCCTTAACCTCTCCTCATAGGACATACCTCTTAACTCTGGGACTAGTCTTGTTGCAAACCTTTGCACTTTCTCTAGTTTCTTTACATGCTTGGCTAGGTGTGGGTTCCAAACTGGTGCGCATACTCCATATGGGCCTAATGTACACGGTGTACAGGGTCTTGAACGATTCCTTATTAAGATGTCGGAATGCTGTTCTGAGGTTTGCCAGGCGCCCATATGCTGCGGCAGTTATTTGGTTGATGTGCGCTTCAGGAGATGTGCCTGGTTTTATACTCACCCCAAGATTTTTTTCCCTTGAGTGATTTTTTGTAGTCTCTGGCCCCCTAACTGTACTCCGTCTGTGGTCCTCTTTCCCCTTCCCCCAACCCTCATGACTTTGCACTTGGTGGGATTGAACTCCAGGAGCCAGTGCTGGACCGGGTCTGCAGCCTGTCCAGACCCTTTGTATTCTGCCTGGTCTTCGATCGAATGAACTCTTCTCATCAACTTCACGTCATCGCAAACAGGGACACCTCGGAGTTTATTCCTTCCGTCATGTCGTTCACAAATACCAGAAACAGCATGGTCCTAGGACTGACCCCTGTGAGACCCCGCTGGTCACAGGTGCCCACTCTGACACTCGCCACGTACCATTACTCACTGCTGTCTTCCTGACAAGTATTCCCTGATCCATTGCAGTGCCTTCCCTGTTATCCTGCTTGGTCCTCCAGTTTTTGCACTAATCTCTTGTGTGGTTACTGTGTCAAACGCCTTCTTGCAGTCCAAGGAAATGCAATCCACCCCCCCTTTCTCTCTTGTCTTACTGCTGTCACCATGTCATAAAACTCCAGTAGGTTTGTGACGCAGGATTTCCCGTCTCTGAAACCATGTGGCTGCTGGTGATGAAAATCATTCCTTTCTAGATTTTTCCACCATTTTCTCCTGACAATCTTTTCCATGATTTTGCATGCTATACATGTCAGTGACACTGGTCTGTAGTTTAGTGCTTCATGTCTGTCTCCTTTTTTAAAGATTGGGCCCACATTTGCTGTCTTCCATGCCTCAGGCAATCTCCCTGTTTCGATAGATGTATTGATATTGTTGTTAGGGGTACACATTAGCCCCTCTGCTCCCTCTCTCAGGACCCATGGAGGATGTTATCTGGCCCCATTGCCTTTGAGGTATCTAGCTCACTCAGAAGCCTCTT